AGCCTCATGCCCGAGCTTTCCTCTTCACCAGCATTATATCTGGCTTAGCGAGGTATAGGAGTGCGTTGGCCGGGGATCGAACCCCGGACTATGTGCATGGTCGGTGAGCGTCCTAACCGCTATGCCACCGACATACTTTAATTTGCTTTGCCACTTAACATTTATCTATGATTATAATCACAAACATTTTAGTTCTAATTGCATTTCATATTATTATTTTATGCATTCACGCCTATGATTCAATTCCCTCACCGGAAATAACTTCGTAAAAACTATATATATACGATTGTACAGCTTGATGATAAATTCGTTGAAAAGAGTCTCTTCGCTGAATCACTTGTTTTGATTTCTATGTTACAATAGGAAATTTCCATGAGTTTTCAGTTGAATCAAATGATATCTACTGAAATTATTCTTGAATATTTTGAGGCGGAATTATATTTTCTGTCGAAATTTAGGGGATACACATACATACTTGAACACCTGTCTTTTGGGTCTACGTATAGTTCGCGTCGATAAATAACTTCATATTTCCTGCAGACGACTAAGTATGCACTTTAAGGTGTCATCTATTCGTGATGACAAGGTCAAAATTTTTAAGTTTGCGTTGACATGCAGGACATTCCCGCAGCATTCCTGTGTTATCTGAGACATGAATATCACTTTGATGAAGTAATCAACAGCCTTAACTAATTTTTATATTCCGTTTGACACTCCCATTGTAAACACACACACAAAATAATTATTTTTTAATGCGATTGTACAGCTAATTTTGTGAATTTGTCAAAAAGAGTCTCTCTGCTGAAACTTTTGTTCTCACACTAATTTCTGAATGCGTATTTCCCATGAATCGTAACACTATCATAAGTATATAATTATTGAATTGCCTTATTTAAAATCAGTAAGCTAAGGTTCACCTAGGTGCTCAGTTAATCACGCTGGCAGACTGACTAGAAAGTCAGGAGATTCAACTGGTGAAATTAAACAAAAAGTGAAATTATTACTGGTAAATAACCAAGCTCCACTCTGCATTCAGAATTATGATAAGACGCATTAAAAAAACAGAATTAGTATTTCAACTAAGGAAACCATTGCTAAAATAATTAAGATATGTAAAGATTGATTAACATTTTCGTAGCATAAGAATGGAACATTAAATGCGTCGGTTGCACAGTGGTTAGGACTCTCGCCGACCATGCACATGGTACGGGGTTCGATCCCCTGCCGAAGCACACCCGATATCTTTGGTTGGCCTGTAAAATTTGGGCTACCGATATCCATGCTGAAAATTCCATACTTGTACTGAAAATACGGTGTGGCATCAAGCTGTAACCGAAAAATAAAAATAAATAAATTACTAATGTGTCTTGGATCAAAGTGTAATTAAAACCAACAACTTGTTCAGGAATAAACTCTATCGGCTTGCAGACTCGTCAGATGTAGTTAGGGAAGATAATGTTATTTATTAAATGTCAAGTAATCAGTGTTGAAATGTAATATATTTACATGGCAAGGGAGATTTGTCACTACATCTTTGGACATTGAATCAATAACAAACAAGTCTGTTCGAAATAACCAAATAATAATTCCCTATATATATATGGGCAGTGATCCTAAAAATAGCCAGAAAGTATAGCTATAATAAACCATGTGGGAAGCCGTGTGTGAATACCTGACATGATCGATTATTAGCAATGAAGTCAACTGGAAATATAATTCAGTTGGTGACATAATATCACTGTGAGTTGTATCAAATCAACTCTCTCATGGTAATGAAAAGTGCACATCAGTTTTATTTCAAATGCCTGTTGTTCAACTGAAGATGCGGAAGTAAGCGAAGCTATGAAACGGTTTAAACCTTATAGGTTACACACAAAAGACAGAGTTTACACAAAATGTGAATTATTTTTGACCTGCTATCTAGAAATAAGACTCTAAATCGTTATTAACATCTAACAGTCTGAATGCAAATGAAAATAGATTTCTTCTTTCACGCAATATTATTATTATTATAATTACTGACCAGTATCACTCAAAGTTGATTACCTGTTGATCTTCAACGATCGAATCATCTGTACATTAAATCAACAGATATGAAACATCAATACAACTTCATTCAAAAAAGTATCAGTTATTCGAATAATATAAGGACAAAGTTCCAATCCAAAAACTGGGTAGGTGTGACTCGTAAATAGGAATTGATGCTTCAAATTGTATTCAATATTTGAAGGGTGAGAGAGCTCAAAGTTCACTGAAATCAATTCATTCACTGTTAAATATATAAACCATGTTCTGGTTAAAATATATACAGATAGTAAGGCATATGGTAGTTCAAATGGAAACAGTAAGTTCACAAATCACTTTCTCTTCATTTCCATAAGCAGTCATTAATTTATAACTTTCAATTGTTAACACATCTGATAGATGTATAAATTCTAAGTAACATTATTTTTGAGCTATCTGGTAAGGAATTATAACATTCAATGCAAATGTTTATGGATTTGTTGTTCTTTGTTCTAACATGATTGGCATGATGGCTCCCTACCTGTTTCTAGCGTTTCTATAACTGGGTCCTCATCATTCAAAGAAATCAGACTCCCATCTCAAATTGAAAATTATTAATTCAATTTTTTTTCCGTGCTCATTTTCTATACACCAGTAATTCATTGTAACTGTATATTCTAAGGCTCTTGTTATCTTTATTCGCACCTCCTAATTCCCATCTCAATTTGAAAATTATTATTTCAATTTTGTTTCCATGCTCATTTTAACACACTTGATATCCATTCTAATCCTGTGTAATTTTGTTTCTAAGCCTGTCGTATAAACCATATCTAGTTGGAAATATATATTTTATTCGTCGTCGTAATTAATTAGAATCAAACAAGAATTGTCACCATGTAAAATTATGCATTTAAATGCGATTGTACAGCTTTTGAGAAATGAAATCGCCGAAAAGATATCTTTGCTGAACTTCGTGTTCTCTGCTTTCTAATGTCCATATTGGTGTTTTCCACAAAATCAGACCCACACCAAACGACTCTGAATCTGCCAAAGCAGAATGAACTGAGTCATCTACGAAGTTGACAGGGTCACACTGATTCGGCACTGCAGTAGTAGGTAATTCCACATTATCCAGTTTGTCGGATATATCATACAATGAAACAGAATCACAGTTTACTGCAAGAATTTTCGAACACAATTTCATTTTTATTGTCATGTGAACTGTAACAAAACAATTCTTAAACTTGATTTTCGCTTATTCAAGAAATAATACTGTTCCACTGAGTGACATGTCCAACGAACAAATCAATGCATAATCTACATTGATTCGATTCTGAACATGTTGTTATTATTCTGTTCTGATTCACAGCTCATTGCTTACAGCCTTTTAGTTCTGGATTTCGAACAACATGTTCTCCTCACAATATGAATTTGATTTGATTGGTTGTCATGAGTGTCACTGTTTAGGAAAATGTCAGAAAACCTCATATATAATATATGTATCATGAAAGTAATTCACAGTAGTGTCTATCTGTCTTTTTTGATTCCGCAATTCACTTGTCCCGTAGATCATATACTACTGAAGATTACCTCAGTGAACCTTGGAATCCCACTGTATACCCTCTCCTCTTTTGATGAATTATTTCCTTCAAGCAAGACATGCTGAAAGCTATAGAATCGATTCTAGTGCAATCACAAACTGAACATATTATAGTCACTAATCAGCACAGCCCGTAAATTCAATGAAAACAAGGAAGAACTGGGTAAAAGCTTCATCCAAATTTCAAACGCTCATTAGATGACGCCGATGACCCGTTAAGCATTGTCATCTACATTGTGGTATACCGAATCTCTAGAGGTTTAAAATTCAGTTGCTCACTTCGTGACTTTACTCAGTCGGTTCACCTTAATGATTCACACATGAGCTTTGAGAATATTAGTTGATAGTATTGTGATTTCTGATGAATATGAAGTTGGTTTCATTCATTTTCAAAATAAACAAAGTGTGACAGATGCAGCAAATATACATGACTAAGATTTCAAACTGATTAGAATTGCATCATTACCTTTATGATTTTATTATCACCATCATCATGAAGTTGTTTTATTGGCATTTGTGCAAACACAGCAGATTCGTATTTTGTAGCATTACTCAAAATCAGGTTAGAAGCAATTACAAAACTTGATGACTACTAATGTCAGAATCTGTCATTGAATGCCCCTTTTTCACTATTACGTGAACACTGTTTGTAAACAATATTTCTCGAAATCAATAGACGATCTGTCTGACTTCGCTACGAGACAAAACATCCACGAAATATAATGATTAATTCTTTCCATTTCATGTGCAGCTGTAAATTCTGGTGTCAAAATTACTATACACTAAATAAAAACAACATCATTTTTTCTGCGATTTGTAGACCACATCATCTGAGATGGAACGCATTGCAGGAAGAGAGCCACTATTCCACATGGAACACTGCATCAAAGATATGGTTCATTTTCTTCTGAAAGCCATACTCTTCTCATTTGCGGTATAAGATTCCATTTCTCAAAATTGCATTTCACATTCGCAGAACCAGAACACACCATCGAAACAAGAGGAGGAAAAGCCAAGTGTCGTTTGGAATTATGTAGCGATCGCTCTAGTGTAAGTTGCTTTCAAATCATCTTGTTTAGCAAAGTTTAAGAAAGAATTTCGTTTAGCAGTATGCTTATTTTTCTGATAGAATAAATAAACGTCACTGGTCTTGAACTACAACCTAACTTTCCTTTGACAGCGAATACAATTATCATACATTTTTAAGTTCAGTATGTGTCCACTGTGTTTGTTCAACGATGATGAGAACTGATGCGATGTTATCTGATCCTCACATTATTTGCTTTCCAGAAATCCAACTTGTTTCAGACAGACTTTTACATCCAGTGCATCGTTAACTCTCTCTCTCACTCTTCAAGTTGATTCGAATTATTATTTTCTTTTCATTGTTAAGAATCACAGATCCAGTTTAACTCCAGTATTAACTGAAGTGCTTATTTTCTCATTTCAGAATACTCGCAGTTATCCTTTCCATTGCACTGATGTTGAGTAGGCGACTGCAATCTGCTTTTCCATTCAACGCGATTCTTGTTGCAATAATAGTGAGCGAAAATTCTCTTTGTCATAAATATTTATCCGTAAATGTGAATTGTGTTCAATATACATTTGAAAACAGCATTTTTCAGTTGTAATTTCAAGAGATAAGTTCAATAAACATACAGCCACCTGTTTGTAATATTTGAACCTCACTTGAATTGATCCTAGAAAAACAGGTCTTTAGAGGCGCATTGACATCCGGCGCTAACTCCACTGAAATATTTCTATAAATTCAGTAGGTTTGTGACTATCGCATCTTTCAAATCCAGTACTATTCCACTGCCGATTAGTGACCAATTAGAAGATGGACTTACTCGAGTTCAAATAAGAAGTTTTGGTGTTCACAAGTGAGAAAATGTAATCACTTATAGCATTTGCTGACGCTGGCACATTAAAGAGAGTTGACAGAGACTAGAAACCAAGCTTTGTTCAATCATAGTCCAGTTGATACATAGTTTATTGACATGCCACGTTACCTTAATGTTCTGGATCGGATCCCTGATGGGAACGTTTGCGGGGCAGGGATATATATCTAAAGTGGTACGGAATGCCTTTTCAGTACTCTCTAAATGCAATCCCTCTCCAATTTATTTTAGTTTGTGACATTCATAAATGTGAAATTCGGCGTCCTCACGATTTCAAACAGCAAAAAATGCGTGGAGAAAGTCACTATTGAAGAATTGATAGTGACTCAAATATAATGTGAAACCATCCACAACATGTTTGCCGTTCCCCTCTAGAAGGTATTTGTGAACTGCATTATGCAACGGAGCCATATTGCACAGGAAGTGTGTAGTGCAAAACAAATGTTAGAGTTCATGATCACTATCAGTCATATCTCACTGGTGATGAGAATTTATATGAATATTCCGAACTAAACACAAATGTTTATGTGATAATCATTTCTGAATTACCTATTTTCTCCTATTTTTAGATTATCCTATTCATTTATGGAATGGGATTTTTCTACTATGTCAGTCATACGTATCATGTGCTTTACTCTCTGCTCATTACACTGGCTATCGCGATCATAGTACTACTGATAACATTCAATTTGAAAACAATGCAGTTGGGTGGATTCATTTTGTTTTTCACACTAGCATGTGTATTTGCCGTAGCGGGAATCGTTCTGGTGGCTGTCAGAATTACAGAGGTGAGTTATATCTTCCATGGAATACCAGGTGTATTTTTCTTTAGTGAGTCCTCATTCAAATTTTCAAATAATCTTCTATATTTAACCGTTTTAATATTGTTTCTATGTTTGTGAAAAAATTTCGGTAAACTTTCTTTAAGAGTCCTGTGTTATCTGAGGTGAATGAAGACTTGCTTACAAAATCAAAATTTTGTTAGGCTCAAGTAATTAGGCAATGACAAAATCCTACTTAAAGTTTTGAATATTGTCAAGTAGTGGATATTTTTTACTTACATTTACACATTTTGCGAATGTATGCTCTTCCGAATCATTTATTTTTCTTTTATTATAGCTTGACTCCACACAGTATTTTTGATACTAGTATGGAATTTTCAGAATGTGATATCGGTAGCCCAAATTTTGCAGGCCAGACCATTGATGTCAGGTGTGCGTCGGCAGGGGATCGAACACCGGACCATGTGCGTGGTCGGCGAGCGTCCTAACCGCTGGGCCACCATCGAGTGATTGAAAACGTGTGTAGCTGAAATGGATGATATAATTGAGATTCTTTTTTCATCGCTATCAAACTCGGAATATGGTTAGCGTAATATTTGTTGTGTAAAGTGATAATCAAAACCTCATAATAAGATCAGCCACCTAATGAAATACAACAATACCAGAATTATAAAACTCAATGAGATTTAAAAGTCAATTTTGCATTCACTTAGAAAGTGAACAGTTGCTTTCCTACTGAATATTTGTATATAATCATAGTTGTAAAGCTTGATTTCAGACAATAGGTGAACATTTAGTTCAGAAATTGTCAGCTCATTTAGTTCCAAATACTCTCTTCATACAAGATTTACATGTACAGCAACAATCTGAAGTATATCATATGAAATGGCTTCGTTACACATGAGAAGCGAACCAATTCTGTACGTCTTTTCTGCATTTCCTATAAGAGTTGCACAGCGTCTAACTGGAAGCTGATTATAAATATACTCGTGAGTTCATGTAGTGGTCATTCGATGAATTGCATGATTAAAACAGTAAGAAAAACATAAGAAGTAGTTCTCTAACTAATGTCAGCTCATGATGAAATCCTCCATGAAATCAAACAAAATTCCTACAAAACCAATACTTGAAAATTATTCTGATGCTCATTAGCGACTGGCCCTATTCAGGCAGTGACCTGGGTTTCTAGTGAGAAGCCGTGACCAGTAGGGTACAGCAGGTTGAAGATGAGGTAGTAACTCATCGAAGAAGATATTACGAAATGGTCGCGCTATGTCGTGAATTGGCAGAAGTTAGAATTCATGGGCTGGCCATTGGATCGGGTCCCAGTGGCTTAATGGTCTATGAACTTGCTGGCCCTGTAACTAGAGGGTCCTGGGTTCAAGTCCCATCGGCGGGTGCGTACTCATGAAAGGTCCCAAACTAGGACGAAACACCTGTCCAATACTCCCAAGTTTTCCAATGGTTCACTAACTGATGTCAGCTCATGATGAAATCCTCCATGAAATACAGAAGGGTCTAAGCATTTTGATAGATATAAATTCTGGTAGCCTAGTCATTTAACAAAGCCATTGTATTGTAGGGTTTTGTCATAGGAAGCACTTAAGTATTCCTTCAAATTTTCTGATATCATATGTATATATTTATCTTTTACAGCAACTTTTCAGAATCCTCGGTGGAGTGTGCTTAGCCATTTCTACATTCTTCGTAAGTATTACATGTTCAGTAGCATGATATGAAATTTCACATTTGTTCAAATAATTAGTATTTATGAATTATCAATCGACTTCGAATTACATTTTATGCAGTTGGTTTGATGTGCTAAATTATGTGGGAAGAATTGAATGTGACCACATGATAAACCTGAATCGTAATTCCAAAGATTGAATCTAGTGAAGTGGAGAGTTAATGCAGCTTGAATTTATCGCTTCTATTTTTCCACTAAAAATGGTCACCATAATATCACTAGATTTTCGACTTTGAATCATGATGATGACTGAAAATATCCTCCTACAGAATGTCTGCAGTGAGATATCAACACTCAGATTCATATCTATAACATCTCAGGTATTTGATAGATGAATTATTGACAGTTCCACCGTTCCACAAATTTTGTCAGCTAAATAAATCCAACCTCAAATAAAAGGGGACAGGATTTTATTTGCCACTGAAACCTTTCGTTCATCCCACATGGATATATATATATATCAGCTTCAAAAGCTTCAAATTATCAAGACATTTTAAGTTACTCAGACACCTCTGACATTTCCGCCAGATTCCGGAATATTCATTGATGCATATCTCTTCATCAACTCACTAAAATCGTCATCATACTTAGTTTCTATACAATACCAATTTAACTTATCATGTGTGTACTGATAGATATCTCTTTCTTCAATTGCAGATTATGTTTATCACGGGGTGTGAACTAAAATTGCATTTCAAAAGAGAATCTCCAAGCTCTGCTGTGTTGCTTGAAATGTTTGTGTATTTCTTCGAAATGGTAGCGCTATTTTTTTCAATATACCTATGTTTCTTGAATCCCAAAGCTTCCGCCCCTACCACAAACCAAAAGCAGTTGGAGTCTATGAAACCTCCATGACTGCGATTACAACGATAAAGTGACACTTGATGCTGAAAATTCTTCTTTTCTGAATAATTCCACATTCATTTCATACATAATTTCCACAAGATTTCTTAGTTATTGTTTTTTATAGTTTCCATTTTCATTGATATCATGATACATGTTCGTCTTATACTGTAATAAACATCGAACCTAGTCTTGCTTTGTAGCTTAATAATGGAGTATATTACCAAAGAACGAATGGTCAGTTGTGTCGATTGCTTCCACTGCTCTGATATAAAATCCACCAAGCCATTGTAGTTGCTGAACTGATAATATACTTATGCACAAATTGTAATGATAATAAGGCCGTTTATTTATAAAAGTCAACAGTCATCAGATCAGCAAGTGACATTGATGTTTCCGAGATGTTTACAGCGAGTATCAATAATAAGTGAAGCTTATTTTCCGACAGTTGTGTTGTGAAGCCAGCATGCTATATATAAATTATATATATATATAACCATGTTTATATTCTACAACAGATTCACATTCTTCAAATTATTTAATTCTGGCCAGTGAAAACAAATACCGATACAGACGTAGATCTTCTTCATCAGTATTTGTATACATATATGCCGCTAAATCTAAGTCAGCCGAAATTTTCGATAAATGTGTGCTTCCTGCTTGGTGATTTACTACCAATTTCGAGAGAATGAGTGTTCCTTCGAACGTTTGAACATAAAGAAGTATGTCTTGAATAAGAATGTCACAAAGTAAAAATGAGTTTTCAAAAATATTTGATGAACAGTGTGAATCATTACCCCTTTTATAAAACATCAATTTATTCAATAGTTACTTATCTGTAATTCTGAAATTCACAGGTTGCACAAAATCTTGTTACCTATAAGTAGCTTTCCAGTAGCTCAGGAATTAATGAAGCAATATTGATAGTGATATTGACTGAAGATCAGTCGAGTTCTTACTGATCTTGACATGCAAGTTATATCCAAGTGATCATTCAGGAAGGTAGAAAATGTCATCTGAGTATATAAGCACTGTCTATCTTATCAGTGACATTTCAAACCAATAGAAAACAGTTTCAGTGACGATAAAATAGTATGTTATGTGTATTCTGAGGACATTCGTCCTTCTCTTTAAATGTCATTACAAGTGCTGAGTGTTGTACAACACGAAAACTGCAGACTACATAATATAAATAAAACCGCAAACCAGCTATACATGCTTTGAATTGAACAAAGTTATCACATAAAATGGAAACAGCTTAGGAACCAGTAGACAGTTAACTGGTGAATATTCAGTGATAAATTTTACCAATGAACAACTTTGCTCAGTAATAATGATGTATGAAGATCTTAATAGTTTCATTTTTAAATGTATTAAATTTAGGAGTTGACATTCGGTGTTCGCACCTTCGTTGGACTCTACTGAAATTAATATTGAACAAAGCACATGTGGATATATAAATGAGTACAAACAGGTTTTCGGAGATTTTTGACTCAAAACAACGCAGTGGAGTGATGAGATACACAGTGTGTCCATTAAAATCAAACCTATTCATGCACTCAGAAGAAACAGATGCCAGAATGCAATGCTTTCTCCTGCCTGAGTGTCTATTGGAGATATGGGTATCGTAAGACTTATATGAAATATTTTTCTTGAACTGTTTGGTATCCCAGCATTCACATGAATTCAAAGCATGTTGAGTAGAACTAATGACGATAATAGCTTATAAGAGAAGACTGTCTTATCTGTTTTATTTTTGAGCTAGCTAATATAACAGTGTGAACAATAGTAAAACTTTCCTTAAATGAGACCACACACGCACAGCCACTGTCCATTTATTTCCATAAAGCGCTTAGCAGTTGAACGTCATATCACATTACGTTTCCTCCAGTAAACCAGTTGCCACTGCAGTAGCGCGCACCAAAGTATGAATGATGATGTGATGAGGAGGCAACCTAGATGAAACCATATACATCGAGTAACGTGTTCCAGTCTGCAATTTTCTGAATTCATTAAGGCATTCATTGACTTTCACTACTTTACCATGAAATGTTTTCCTAAATGATAAACTGTAAGCCAAATCTATTAGCGAACAGCGAATTCTTATTCAATGGTGACATGGAGGAGATCGAGAGAGGATGAACTGACAAACTATGGACTACCTTGAAGTCAGCTAGATGAAACAAACTGAAGATCTGCTGATAAACCAGTATGTTCCACTCAGAACACAAAGTAGTAATAGTAACTCAAACAATAAGACTGTTTAAGGAATCCATGACTTTCCATTTATGTGCGGCCTAATTCCTTTAGGTTTAATCATTTGATGATGCAGCATGGCGGTGGAGTTGAAAGACACATCTCTGAGTTTATCGAACCAGTTATTGCCGTTCGATAGTGTAGTTTATGATGACATGCAAGCTATCACATTGATTAGATGAAAGGTTAATAACTACGAGTTAAAGTCCGACATATTATAACACACACCGTATTCATAATATTAGTTCTTTTATTTATTTTATATTGCTCTATCATAAAACCTTCATTGAAGAGATAACAGCTAACTCTTCCATGCAACTGTGTTATGTTGAATTTGATTCAGTACATTCACATTTTTCATTGCAAAACATAATCAACTGCACTAGAGACTAATTTAATTCACATGGTGTTCACAATTACTGTCAGTCATTACGTGAATTGCATTTCTTCTGACTTCGTGATAAAGTTCAATCCCTGGAGGTATTTTGGCTGAATTCTTTGGAAGGAGCGTACACTTAGAAGTGACGGAATGTCTGTAAGTAATCTGGATTAATCGTGGAATATACTTCTCATGTCGCTCAAACTCGACGATTGACAAGTGAAGTTCCACAAGTTGACAGAAGTGGCCTGGAAGACAAAGTTTCAGATTAACATACACAAGACAAGACAGGCCACACATCCATGGCAGTGCATTCATTGACATGTATTAACGCACTATGGAAGGAAGGTTGAAAGTTGCAAATCTATCAAACACAACTGGTGACATAGGCTAATCACTGAAAATTCGCTGATAAAATAAAATCACCAAATGCAGACAAGAGGAATGAAGCAACACCTAGACTGGATGTATGGAAAATCAAAATCAAACAGTAGGAAATAAGACCGTTTAAAGTAAGTTGGGAAGCTATGTGAATATTTCCATGTGGTTACGAACAATAAACTGACCTAGAAACGTCATCCAGTCATCAACACTGTATAACCTCGTGTCACATCAAAGAAACTTATCTTATATGAAATTACATTACACAACACTGCCTAAATGAACTATATCCATTTTTACAAGTGGAATTCCCACGCACAGGTTCAACAGCCCTCGTGTCAAGAATGCATCGTAAATTGATGTATTTCAAAACATAACGTGAATATTACATCGAATAAGCATTATTTATTTCAAATTATTCACCGTGGAATAATTCACAAATCGTGCTCGCAAATTTTATTTTATGCGTAGTTTTTTCTTAGGATGATAATTGCCTCTAAGCAGAGATAGTAGTATCTTCCTGTAGCAACCATATGCTTTCTTCTTCAAGTCTTTTACAAGACTACTATTGTACAAATTATTGTAAGCTTTTCCGATTCCACGTAAATCAATCTGAAAGTGGAAATTAGAAAAGAGAACATGAGTATCTGCATATTTCACAGGAAACATAGAGTGTGTGTTTAGATTGTCGTTTCGTTACTGTGTAAGGGTATGACGTTGAATGTAAATGACCAACACTTCCAGTTCTCTGATGGTGCTTACAAAACTGGAACTATTACTGTCCCTTCAACACAACAATATGAGTGGTGAAAATCTTGCAACAGACTTTACTGTACGACAACAATATACAACTGGTGGCTTGGCTACTGTTTGCTGACTGGCAAGGCAAAGATCCATTTCTCCATATAAAATGGGGACTCTCTAAATAACAGGTATTTTCGTATTTATTTTACATAAGCAATGAACTGTTGATTTAAGTGACAGAAAATACGTTTCCACGACTGAACAGGTAACAGCACAACTTCCATTATCTGACCTTAATCTTCATTGGGATCAGATATCTAATGTACGCGTCTTCTGAACAATGGATCACGTTGATATCTCCTCTTATCCTGTCCTCTTGTACTGTTAAGGAAGTTGTACGCTTGTACCAAGTGAAGAGCTTCAGTATTATTTTCAGTTGTAGATTTACAGCTACGAGAACGATATCAGGTTATGTTTTAAACTGAGAAAACTGTTGAAATCTAGGCACTTCTAGACAGATCTTCCCTCCTAGCCTCCCTGTGATTCCCAGATCTTTCAGTTGACCAGGAAAACCGATTGACAGTATGGTGCCTGAGATGGATTCCGAGGGTGTGTGAATTTCAGTTCTTTGTCAGTTCGTGATATATATCTTTATAGATACATGCATCATCAACCAATATCCCCAGAAAGTATTGACCTTGCACCTTACTTCGTGTATCCCGACAGTCACGAATTTTCATTAGAAATCTACGAACCGTAAACTGTAGTCAGTTTCTGGCGAGCATTAGATTAACCTGATCAATAATATTGACGTCACTCAGGCAGGAAAAGTTACTTTTATGTTTTTACCAATGCAACGTATTCAGTTCTGCATTTCTTCATCAGGTCCTCAAGATTTCAAAATAAGCGAAGGCATTGTAAAACTGAAAATTGAAATCAGCTTAAAAGGTTCAAAAGACTTCTCAAGAATTCAGTAGGACGCGCAATTAAACCTAACCAACGAATTTCAGTAACATATACTGAAAAGGCAAAGAATGACGACCCACACGAGTGAACTTGGACAGGTCAATCGGTATTCACACTGGCAGATATGAAATAACAACAAATAGATCCCTATTCATTCCTAGCTGTTCTAAGCTATAACTGATGATGCTGGGCTGTATTGTAGTTTTGTAGACGCATGGCGTTTTCCCTAAACTAACCTGTTCGGGACGTTATCATCCACACAGGGTAATATTTTGTCACCCTATATTGATGCCGTTTAATATTTTGCTTAGGATAGAAATAAGTATGATATCACGCTAGTTCTCCCTTCCGATTAATTCGCCCCATTTTTAGCAGTATCACAGTGTGGCTTTTATTCTAACTGGTAGGCACCTTTCGTTTCTTCCAAATGCAATGTTGTTGTACGGGTGAGACAAATCTGAAAGCTCAAGTAAAATTCTGAATAATTCAGGAATCAGGGTAGTATTCATTCCGACAAATTCACTCAGGGTCAAGTTGTGTATGCTTAATAGCCCATAATGGCCTAATTAGACAGAGTGACTTAATCCACGACACACCTGTCAATGACAATGGGGTCGACTATATATTGGTCATTTCAGTAGAGCAGTTATCGAAATACAGGATTGTGTCACTGTGATTCTGTCAAATTAAGTTAGTTTATCGAAGATCGAATTACGTGCATACATTGTTTCTACATCTTACATTCTATTATGATGGGAAATCAAATATCAACACACAAGAGCTTCAGTCATAAATCTAGATAGATCAAGAAGCGCTCAAATTAAACTGGCTGTCTGTTTCATTTCTGTGACAACTGGTAACGTCAAGGAGGTTGAGTCTTGGGATTTCAGTGATTGGAATGCTGTTTTCATTTCAGGCTATTACTAATACTATGATCAATTAATTTAAAGGAAATACGCTTAAGCCCCATAGACAAAATCTCCGTAGTATTGCTTGAAACATAAGGTGAAAAATTCTATCATTACTAATATTATTCACTTGGTTAAATGTAAACAGCAGTCAACTCACATCTGAACGAGTGATAAACAAAAGTTGTAAGGCGTCATGATTCAAATCAGTGTTGAACAGAGTCTTTCTTAATAAGTAAGCGAAGAAATTCAAGCGTTTGACAGCATAATAGACTGAAATTATAGAATAAAAAAGATCTCACTCAATGCTTCATTTTTTATTGTATAAATCATTGCTTATATTCAAAGATGACGGAAGACAAACTACTACCAGAAGAAATTGAATGAATCCGTTTTCAATCACCATCTCCCTGGATATAATTTTAGTTTTGCATCTAAATTGGCAGTCAAGGTCGCTAATTTCATCCAGTAAACTCTACATGCGCAGATATCAAATTTCACAAGCTATTGAATTCCTTCCTTGATCAGTGGGCCCTGCTTGTAACCTAAAAGTTGCATGTTCCATCCCCAGTGAGGTCATGGATCACAACTGCTGAAGAGTTGTAAACTACGAAGAAACAGCTATCCCTGGTTTACACTGGTTCTTTAGCCAATGCCACTTCGTGATCTAACGTGATGTCAATCAAAGCCCTGCTAATCCACATTTGCAAACCATTTTTCCTAAATTAGTCAATTACGAAATGATGCGAGAGCTTTTTGTTCATTTGAGAATAGTCAAATAAGTGAACGCAATTAACCCTCCATGCAGATGGCTTGAAAGTGATTAGAGTCTATGCGAAGAGTGATTCAAAGCATTCCAAATAAAGAAATATCACTCTTTTGTTCCTAATATATACAAAGATTCTGAAATAACGTATTCGATTTGTAGCGTAATTCTATTATATATATGTACATATATCACTGAAGTTACAAGCACCAAGTGATCACTCACGTAGGTCCAATAGAATCCTCCGAAAGCTCGTCACACTTATATGTGCTTTTATATCAGCCTCAAGAGATGTTTTATATATCTGTTTAAAATAAACGAAACAAATAATTAGCTGTCTTAATGAATACTCTGTTCTAAACGTAAAATTTGCTTACTGACAAAATTCTCTTCCCTCTACGACATTGTTAACAATGGTTATTTCACTAAATCAAGATCTCGTCTGCGAGTGTGTGTTTGACTGTTGGCTGTGCACTCTTCAGCAATGCAAGATATCTTTCATCTACTAGAAGAACATTCCAAACACATTCTGTAGTGAGCAACTAAGACTTGAGCGATAAGGAGACAGAAAAAGCAAATAAAATACTAAGAGCAATAGCCATCATGTTCCTTCTGCTTCTTATGCAGTTTCTGCCACGCTCATCTATTGAATTTATTCAGATTTCGTATTTTGTAGGGATTGTGATCTGGACGATTTACTTTCCGTGGAAAACTATGCTGAAATTCCATCAGTCGAACTGTGTACATTGCAAATTGTGAATTTCACTTGTTATAAATCGTTGGGTAACGGATTCGAACCTGCATCTTTGGTTAATTATTAAGGTGGATTTGAAACCAGGTGGGAATTTCGGTCTGGAACAAAAGAACTATTGAGTGTACTATAATCTTTATTTGCTTTTCTAGATGATGTGACTCCACTTGAAATGAAACCAGATATAAAGCGATTGACCACAAATCACTTCTGTTCTAATTAACTGTCACATCTACGTTACAAGTTGCTATTTTGTTCACAGATGAGCACTAGGGGAATTTACTATTGAAGTGATAGCCAAATTAAGATACCGATCGTCTTATAGAATCAAGTACCTTTTCGTGGAGTAGTTACAGATTCAGAGAATTTAACACATACATTATGCAGTGTGCAATTCATACTTTGATAAAAGTGTTCCATCAGTTTTACTTCCCTTAAACATTGTCGTCAACATGAGTACTGGAAATCTGCTACAGCTCTAAGTCAACATTGTGTTTGCTATCACCATACATGAGATATCTGTAAACTATATATCTTTAACATATTTTGATCACAAGATGTCTAATATTTCGCCCCACTCTTCTGAATAACTGACGGTTGATTACTGACTGACAAAGAGTGAGAATGAAACTAAGCGTAGGATGTTGTAGTACATTGTGACACACTGTTATCTGGTAACAAGTATTTCTAGTCAATAAAATGTACACATTTGTTTTGCTCAACCAAAAATAACAAGCTATTCGCATCCTAATTACAAAGCCGTTTATAGCTTAACACCAATTTATTTTGCACCTACCATTTCATAGTACACTGACGTCAAGTTCAACTGAAATGGTGTTCGTTTACAGAAAATATCGCTCAAAACGGCCTGTTCTTTACGCCTTTTACTGGAAAATGGAACAGAGTAAATAATGTACAGGAGTTAATTTTAACTCAAATTCATTTCGTAGTATCTGGGAAACTGAAATCAATAATAATGGTATGAAGTAAACCAACCAGTTTCTCTACACTTCAAAACTCTAGAATGAATGCTAACATCATACTACAAATATAGATTTGATGATCTTGTAACTGCTGCCATTCTAATGGCATTTATCACCATTTTCAGCAGCGATAAGAAATAAAAATATGGATTATTGTGTACACTGATTTTGTGAACTCTCCAAAGGATACTAAACATATTTTGATATGGTTGTCTTCTCTGAGCTGGATAGTTAATTTGCGAAGATTTCATCGCCCTACTAGGTGACATCTTCAGCGCATACTTCAATTTGATGAAGTGAGCTTTGAAATTTCTCCACGAGTTTATTAAGCATCTCTCCCGGTGACCTTGGGCGTGATTGGTTGTTTGTGTGTGTTTTCACACCTTCTAGGTTACTTGTGTTGGAACTGATTGTTTCTTTGACTTGAACTTTGAGCATTTGTGTTTGAGGTTTCTTTCTTATCGGTTGATAAATTTTATCAATCTCGATGTGTCTATTGATTGATGATTCAGTGAAATGCCAAGCTTCAAAAATTCTCTAGCATTCTTGTTGTTTCCTCTGTCTAATATTTGAACGTTGTCCCAGTGGAATTGATTTCCGTTGGTAGCGAAAACACTTCATTGGCCAAAGTGAACGCTCCCTTCGTCTTCGTATCCACGAACATAAGCTAGCCGTCAAAAGACATGATATCCACTCCCTCATATCACTACATACAGACAACCACGGACATCAATTCGACTGGGACAACGTTCAAATATTAGACAGAGGAAACAACAAGAATGCTAGAGAATTTTTAGAAGCTTGGCATTCCAGTGAATCATCAATCAATAGAATACCCAGTCGGTAGTAAGTCCGGTAAAGAGGGAAAGTTGACAGTGAGGTTAGCAATCCCCTTCTGTCAGAACAAACCTTTTCTACTAAAAATTTAAAACTCAATCTTGAAAACTTATGCTCTACTTGAAATACAAGAAAGTATCCCTAAAAGTTTTCAATACAAAGCTAGCTTTCACAAGTTTGTCCGCTTTCTTTCAACAAATTGAAAGATTCAACTAGTGAGTAAAATAATGTAAATTGGAGTGTTTTTAGCTTTTGTTTCACACTCTGCTAATTTAATCAACAGTAATCATTTACACTACCCCCTATATTTCATTTTAAAGATATAAACGTAATAATTTTTGCGTGATAAACAATGTGGCATCATTATACTCACTTTAAGGCTTACTACTGCGGAAACGTAATTCTACTTTATCATTTCAACCAATCCAGATTGAGGACTTAAACACTTTGTCTATCACAAACTTCGTTAGATCTATGTGATCACTAGCAGTCTTGTCTTCAATCTCAACACTATTAAATTTCGTCATGCTGTGAATCATTGTAAAACTTTCCGGTGTCTATTGCATATATATTATACGAGTAATCGCCAGAAAAGGCCATAATTTCTACCTAAAAATGCTCTAGTTGACATGTGGTTGATGAGTGGAGAAATGGATGAGATATCACTTTATGTATTCCTGCTAATCTAATCCCAGTATCTGTTAACTTACAAAAGCTCGTCTCTCAGAAGTTTTTGTAGTCGTTACTCTGTTAAAATGAAACACTTACCTATTCAAAGCTTTGTGAATAACATGAGCTTCCAGTCTTGCTAAAGTTTCATTCACAAATGGTAACCATGAATAGCGTTCTCCATTTTTCTTTACATCTACTGCGATGTCGTCACGTTCAGCATTTACAAGACAAAGTAATAACCTCTGAACATTTCCCTTACTGGCACTTTCAATATCATAAGACAGATTATTCAAACCTTGCTCTGAAAAATGCAGTAATCCATAAAATAAATTATTCATATACTGATTGATGAGTACATAGATCAGTGTTTCAGACAGTACATAGAGATTTAATTTACTTGTATATTGTTCATAACCTCAGGACTTCAATTTAGTTATTACTGATTTAACTGCCAATGACAACATCAGTTATTTCTAATTAATTTGTTTCAGTTAAAGCCATGGAGAAAATCCTCATTTCGCAGATTATTTGTGTCTGGCATCACATAAACTCGAAGACACACAGTAAGCTCATAGGTAAGCAAGGAAGACAAGACTTCAACTGACTATGGAGAAGACAGAGGCGATGAAGACACTCGACGAACAACAATAAAGACCAATAGTGATCAATAGGAGCAATCTAGTGTAAGTAGTCTGTTTCACTTACCTGGCTGCGTAGCACAGGTTTAGCCACAGTTGTCAAGGTCAGGGAGTTTCAAGAAAGCAAGATAGCAGTAAATAATTCAGAAACTGATGTGTAAATTACCGTCACTCAACACTAATGTCGATTCAGCGCTTATTGGTGATTCACGGACTTGGCGCATCATCACCGAGAGCACCTCAAGATGACTACTACAGACTCACACAAACAGTTGTCTTCGCTCAATGCTGAACATCAGACGGTAAGTCATAAGAAATAAACATTAGGTACCGCCGTTAGTGCACTGATCCAGCTAAGAAGCTATTGCTTAAAATATGTGCAGAAGGAGATGAATATGTATTCAACATACGCTGAGGCGGCTGTTAGATAACGTCACATACCTTGCACTCAGAAGGGACCAGAATAGTAAGGATGATATAATGGAGATTGTGTGTGTGTGTGGAGAAAATGATATCACGTAGCTGATCATGGAACCGGTAAAGAAAGATGACACAAGGCAGAGTAGAATGGGCATGTGCAAAGGAAACCACATGTTCTACTCAGAAGACATGAATAATAATAACTAATGTTTAATAGCAATAATATTTTGCTTTATTCCAAAACAGTACTTGTGACACAGAATGGAATTCTCAGCATTTTACTACAGTATTGCATCCAGTTAGTACATTAAACAATAAATAAAATTCTACATAGATTAAGGGTAATCTCAGTTAGTTTTGATAACAACATATTGGCATGTCGGTAGCAAAGCCAAAAGTGAACAGTGTTTGAAGGTGTTAGAAATGTAGATACCAGCATAAGCAGTAGCAGAAGGTCAAGATATGCAGAGTGTGAAAAAACGAAGAAGAATGTTTTAGCAGAGTTTATAAAGAAGAAAGAAACAGAGCAGCACATAACAGAAAAAAAGTGAAAAGGAAAAGAAAGGAAACGTTGTACCTATAAATGATATGAGTTGGAAAGACGAGGTCCAGTTGTTCTACTGACTACTTAATAAGTTATAGGTGTCACGCCTAATGCTTTCTTTATCGCACAGAACACGAGCTAAGTAGAGTATGGTTGAGATTTTGTACTTGCTAGTGCGAACATATAGTTTTCTATATAGGATTCTGGTTCTGCCTGATGAGATACAAGGGGAGAGTTGTGAATGAAGAGGGTGGTGTGAGTTAGATAAAATGGATTCAACCTATTTTGCACATGATTCCATGTGCCTGTCAACCAGAATATTAACAAGCTGGTTAAGTGGCACGTTGCTTACCCTGCTGACAACCTTTAACATCCTGCGTAATATGTTATAGTCTTTCTTCAGTAGCCTGGACAAAACTAAGGGGGAACAATAGAGAATAATAGGGGGAATGCGAGAGTTAACGAATTGTAGGAGTAAGGATTGGGTTAACCCAGAATGTCTTAACCTCTTGATGTAGAAGTTAAGACGGAACATTTCATGTAAAACTAATTTATCTCTGTGTAATGAAGGGTCAAAAATTTGTCTGAAGAAGTCCATTTTGAAATAATTAATATGCATCATTTTAAAATAATGACACAGTTTCCAAACATGCTAAAGTTGGTGCAATGAAGACATTTGCTACCTGTTCGCTTTATCAAATTTCCAGTGTAAGTTCATAAACAACCCACCGTCTTAATCTTATGTATGAGTCACATAAAAATACAGTCATTCCCCGTGACCATATTCCTTTATGCCTAAGAATGTATTCATCGTAAAGGTGACTATGTTCTTAATTATAATGCAGTTCTATAACTCACTGACTGTTTACCACTAAATCGATAAGCTCTAAGAGAACCATCATGAAGGATTGGCATCTTTTAAAGAGATTTTCAGACTACCAAGCTTTCTCAAAGCATCAGAACATTACTGGTTATGATGAATATCATTAACAGTGACTATTTCAAACTATCTAACGCTGACCAAATAGTTATCCCTTGTAACCCCGTGTATAACTTGTCGCATTTCATCTCTGTTTTGTGAGGATTTCATGCTGTACAACATTCAACCAGCGTGGCTAACTCAGTCATAAACAGTTCCATATTAGCACACCTAGTTCAAAAAGACCATCAAGTATGAACCAATTATTCTCCATTTTGTGTGTTTTGTGCATACTCAACTGCTGAAATCCATAACATGGTAAATACTCTAAACATCAGAATCCACAACATTCCTCATGAAACTACCAAGACTTTGTAACCTCTGTGTTTAAGCAGTCACAATGCCTTCCTAATTAATGGGAACCTTGTGTGTCTTGAGATAACATATAAGATTACACAAAAGTGGTTAAGATCATCGAGTGTTCAGCGACTCACAGTTAATCCAGTTAGTTACCACTTGCTCAGAAAGTATTAAACCATCTCATTAAATATAATTTAATCTGATGAACATCACCGTCTAGGAATTACTTCGCACTATTAACATAATTGTGCCAAAAAGTTTCTTCTTTTCTAACTGAAATGAACCCGGGGTCAACTGATATGTTCTCGTAGACAGTTATTATGACTGAGTGGGCTTACATGTGGGTAAAAGGCTGAACGCAATCTGCTACTAAAATGAAATGCTGGACAGGTCTATTCATCCTTAGCAATTTCCACTCCGCTGAGCCACGTAAATATCAAAGTATAAAGACTAGTTTGTGACTGTTAAGACACGGACTTCCGACCGACCACGATAAGGAAGAAAAGAAGAAACAAGATGACTACGACGATCATTTTTGAGACAAAATATGTTGTATTTAAAGTTCACAAAACCTCAGCAATTTAAGCCATAAATTAATCCGATTGTTTGGCATAGGATGAATAGTAGCAGTAAAAAAGACTATGGAATTTTACAGTGAGATCAAAGGTCAATAGTCATGCAACACACAAGATGAATTCTGCTTAGAATGTTGGTAATCATTTTTAACTGCCTCATATGACTAACCAACCTCGCCTAGATTACTAGGTCACTAGTATTCTAGCCGGTCCCAAGCCCGGATAAAGAGGGAGGGTTGGGGCGTGGTGCTAGCAACTCCACCCCCAAAACTTAACCAAATTGCTACTAAAACTTCAACGCACAAATATATTCAAAATTCTAAAATTACAAATAGTGACCTTATTTTTCGCTGGAATCGGGGAAGTGAAATGACGCGGGCTGGTGAAAGCCTTCGGGAAGCCAGTCAGCCGATGTGCCTTCTTTCGATGAAAGCGAAAATAAGGATGGGGACGTGGAATGTTCGTACAATGTACGAAGCTGGGAAGGCTGCTCAGGTTGCCGCAGAAATGAGGAGATATAGAATAGAAGTGTTGGGAATCTGCGAGAGCAGATGGAACGGATGTGGAAGGAGCCAACTATCAACTGGAGAGACAATAATCTACTCCGGTCACCCAGAGGACAATCACGAGCACACCGAGGGAGTAGCCATCATGATGTCACCAACAGCGGCTAAAGCTCTCATGCAGTGGGAACCAATCTCCTCCAGGATAATGACAGCCAGGTTCAACTCAAAAGGAAAAAAGGTTACAATCATTCAGTGCTACGCGCCTACAAACGCCTCAGAACATGAGAAGAAGGAGGATTTCTACAGTCAACTACAAACAGTAATGGACAACGTCCCAAAGAGCGATATCAAAATCCTGATGGGCGACATGAATGCGAAACTGGGAGGAGACAATACAGGAAGAGAACTCACCATGGGTCGTGAGGCCCTCGGTGAAATGAACGAAAATGGTGAACTCTTCTCAGACTTCTGCGCCTTCAATGATTTGGTGATTGGTGGCAGTGTGTTCAAACACAGGGATATACACAAGGAGACATGGATTTCACCAGATGGACACACCAAAAACCAGATAGACTTCATTTCAATCTCAAGGAAGTGGAGACGGAGCCTACTGGACACAAGATCGAGGAGAGGAGCAGATGTGGGTTCAGACCACTATCTAGTACAAGGGACTTTCAAGGTGAAGCTGAAAGCCTTGAGGATACCTGGGGATAGGCCACAATGCAAGTTCAACACTCACAAACTGAAGGACACAATCACACAGGACATTTTCACTGCAACTGTCAGAGCAAAGCAGGAAACACTACGTGGCACCACTGAGGAATCATCCGTGGAAGACCATTGGAACTCTCTGAAGGTAATTTTCAACGAAACGTGCTCAACGGTTTTAGGAAGAAAGAAGAAACAAGACAAGGAATGGCTCTCAACAGACACTTGGAAACTAATAGAGGAGAGGAGAAAAGTGAAAGAGAAAATGATTCAATGCAAAGATGGACAAGAGAAAGAGACGCTGAACTCAACTTACACAGCACTGGACAAAGAAGTGAAGAAGAGTGCCAGGAAGGACAAAAGACAATTCTACGACAACCTGGCTACTGAAGCTGAGAAGGCAGCAGGCAAAAGGGACCTGAGGACACTATACCAAGTAACCAAGTCTCTATCCGGGAAGAGATCAACACAAGTGAAACCTATAAAAGACAACCAAGGGAACCCAATTACCAAAGAAGAAAGACAGATTAAACAATGGGCGGACCACTTCAAAGGACTCTTGAACCGACCACCACCTACAACCCGTCCAGTAATACCAACAACAGCACGTACACAACTGCAAGTTGACACCAATCCTCCAACGAAAACTGAAGTCATGAATGCAATCAAGCTTCTGAAAGCTGGAAAAGCAGCTGGACCAGATGGAATACCCCCGGAAGCACTGAAAGCGGACCCAGAAACGACGGCAGATATGCTGACCCCATTATTGCAAAAGATCTGGAAAGAGGGAAAGGTGCCTACTGACTGGAGGAAAGGTTACCTGGTGAAACTACCAAAGAAGGGCGACCTGGGACTCTGCAAGAACTGGCGAGGAATCACGCTCCTGTCGACGCCAAGTAAAATCCTGAGTCGCATCATCCTGGAGAGGATAAAGGACGCACTGGAAACAGAACTCCGACCAGAACAAGCTGGATTCAGGAAAGGCAAATCATGTTCTGACCAAATTGCAACTCTACGCATTATCATCGAACAAAGCATGGAATGGCAATCAAATCTCTACCTCAACTTCATAGACTTTGAGAAGGCCTTCGACAGCGTTGACCGCGAAGTAATTTGGAAACTACTCGAGTACTACGGCGTACCCCAAATATTCATCAACCTTATTCAACAACTGTACGACAACGGCACATGTCAAGTGATCCACAACGGAAAACTCAGCGAGGCGTTTGGAGTAAACACAGGAGTCAGACAAGGGTGCTTATTATCACCAATGATATTCCTAATTGTGGTGGACTGGATTATGCGTCAGACAGTGGGAAACGAGAAGACAGGGATATCCTGGACCGACGTGAAGAACCTAGAAGACCTGGATTTTGCGGATGATTTATGTTTGATGTCACACAAAATCGAAGACTTACAAGCAAAAACCGACAAACTGGTCGAAGAAGCAGCAAAGACAGGACTGCAGGTGAACATAGACAAGACGGAGGTTATGAAAATAACCAACCAACAACAGCAGCAACATCCAGTGCCAATCACCATCAACGGGAGGGATTTGAAAGAGGTTACTTCTTTCACTTATCTGGGGAGCATTGTCTCAACCACAGGAGGAACGGACGACGATGTCAAATCGAGAATCGGGAAGGCGAGAAACACATTCATCAACCTGAAACCAATCTGGAAATCTTCGTCACTCAGTATCAACAACAAAATTCGGATTTTCAATACAAACGTCAAGTCAATTTTGCTTTACGGATCAGAAACTTGGCGGGTCACCAAGAATATTTTCAACAGGTTGCAGACCTTTATCAACAACTGTCTTCGCTCCATACTGAAGATTAGATGGCCAGAAAGAATCACAAACAAGAAGCTATGGGAACAAACGAAACAGGAACCAATCGCCCAACAAATATGCAGGAGGAAGTGGAGATGGATTGGACACTCGCTGAGGAGGCCGTTGAGTGACATCGCGCGTCAAGCCCTCGAGTGGAACCCGAAAGGGAAGCGGCGAGTGGGACGTCCAAGGGTGACATGGAGGAGATCGTGTGAGGAGGAGATGAAACAGTATGGAATAACATGGACGCAAGTGAAAAGAACAGCAGAAGACAGAAGCAAGTGGAGACGTGCAGTTGAAGCCCTATGTTCCACTAGGAACCCAAGGGAACAATAATACAATAATAATATGACTAACCAACTATAACAATCTGTGATTTGGTCACTCAAGAACTACGCATCAGACAAAATATAAACTCCATACATATCCAAATCTCAAATTAGCAATCCTCAATTTGCACAATTCGAGAGGTGCAATTTTCAACGCAATTTCAATTAATCAGCAGAATTTTGTTTTTTGCAGATATGCTTGCTTTCTCGATTACCACTTATGGTGACAAGCAGATCACATACTATCATCTAAATGATTTGATTTCCAACGAAAACCATGCTGAAATTTTCACCCGTCGAACTGAGTACACAAAAAATCATTGACTAATTTGCAAGCTGTTAATTTGATTCAGTGTACCATTAGTTCGTCCAAATAGTTAGCCAGAAATTCAGTAGTATCAACTGATCGAGCTGTCTGAGTTGAGTTAAACTGGGAACACTACTAGTGAGGTCGACCCCGAAACAACAGAGACAATCGTCCGGTGATTAGACCAATTCGATCTGTCTAGCAAGCACTACTGGTTGACATGAGTTATATACGACTACTCATCTCAGAAAATCAGTAGTATATAGTCTCCTACCTATATCTGTTATGCAGCAGAAAGGTAGAAACAAGCTGGATTCAATTTAGATTACGACCAATCGACCTCTGTAAATTAACACTTCAAAATTAGTCTGATTAATCAATCTAATGATAGACTTTGAGATCAAATCTCTGAAATTCCACAGAGAAGTTATGACATGTCCCTTATTCACCGAGTGAGCTGCGAGGACAAATACTTGCCGATCACAGTGGTTGGCGGTGGCGGAATGCTTCAACGGTTGGCCACTGGATCCTGATCTTTTGGCCAATCGGTCGATGAACTCACCTCGCCTTTTTGAGCTCCTGGTTTTTATCCCCGAAAGGTTTATATGAACTTAATTCTGAAGAGACCCACACTAGGACGAAACACCTATTAATGATTCTCTGAAATGTATCACTTCATGACCTCAGCTGTGCTTGCACTATTTCAGTGAAACTTGGAAAAATATTTAACACCACTTTGTGAAATAACTGATGGTTTTACATAAAGATCAGCTTCGAAAAGCTGTTATGTTTACAAACGAAACAACCCAAAAGTTCAGATAACGGTAAGAATGTAAACTTTCATATTTATAGCTCATTTACTTTGTATAACATAAAGTATTCAAAATACCTAGTTAGTTGAAAATGTCGAGATTCGATGTTAACCCATATTTTCAGCTGTAATTTTCTCATTTAAAGGATGTGATATCTCACTTATTTTGGTGAATGCCTTCAACAGATATCTGATTTTCTTCGTATTCTTCAGAGCCTTCTTTCCTAATTTTTTAACATCTTGAATCAATTGCCTGACCAAAGGATTCACCATGATGAAAGTTATATAAATTAAATCACTATAGAGTATACATTTAAATAAAAGAGTTAATTCAGAGATCGCTTACGTTCGTAAACTTTGCGCACTTTTGTTAACTCTGAATTTCTCAAGGGAATTAATGTTCTTGCAACACTTATGATGTCATAGGTGATTAAAGAGGTAGATATGTCTTCAGCGCGTAACTCTGATGTGCTTCTTAGCAGCTTTGTTAACATAATTCTCAGAACAAGAGGCTCCATATCTTGAATATAGTAACTGATGGGCTATTAAGGTAAAGATAAAGTGCAGAAAATTAAATTACTAGTTTTTGTAAATGCTTCAAAAATATAAAGTTAATTAATAGCTGTCTAGGATTACAGAATCCTTCAGATTTGTGGTGAGGAACTTCGAACACTGCAATTATAAACAGCCCAATTACTGGTAGTAATTGATTTTGGACCTGGAGCAGACTGAGTTGGTTCATCATACTCAAGATAGTCAATTCTATCATTGATCATGAAATCCTAGCACGGATGGAAAGGGCATCCATTGGCATTTTCCAGCTCACATAATACCTGACGTGGACGCTACATCCGGCTATTGATCAGAGGAAGTGTCCACTGAGCAGAAGTTCGCTCTGTCCTACTTTATGGCCATGGAAGATATTAAGAGACTAACCATCTTTGACAACCAATGTTTACGTTCTTTCTCACCTGTTGATTGGTATAAAATGGTGAGTAGTATTGAGGTTAGGCGTAAAGTATTAAGTAAGAAGGAAAAGTAGGCCGAGCAGGTTGTGAAGCTACTTCAAGTGAGATGGCTAGGACATGTGCTATGCATGACAAGTCATTTCCTTCTTCGATGCCAGTCAATATTATCCCGAATTTCGAAATAATTTTTTTTTACTTTTGTTTTGTATTAAATATTTCTCTTCAAACATTTTGTTTAATTTTAAAGTTCGTCTCAAACCGACATGATTTAAAGCAGAAAAGGAAACCATTGAATACTGCATAGCTATCTTGTCTTAATTGGAGGCGAATTTGGCAGTTATGAAATACTCATTTACCCGCTGTGGTAACCTAAGATTACTGGGTAGGGATTCCTTGTATGTTTGTGAACGTGCACTTATCTAGGAGTGAAAAGGATCCTACAATGATCACTGATTTTCACTGCTTGTCTAAACGATGTTAGCTAGTGAAGAAGTTTACTTAGACGTTTACTAAAACATGAATCTGTCGTTATCCCCACTATTTTAAGTACAATTAAAAAATATGCGTTGCTTCAAAGTGTGATATTACCTAAAGTGATTCCACTTATTGATTTTTATTTTATTAACTTTATTATGAAGTCAGCGAGATCTGAAAATTCATTGAACGGTGTTTCTCTTTGACAGATAACACAATGAGCAACGCAGTATCTGCGATTACAATTTATCACATTACTACGTCGATGTAAATATAGATACAGTTGTCGGTCTGACGCTTATTTGTAAGACTTTACAGTCAGCATAACAATAAGGCTTTTACACAAACGTTATCAAAATAAAACAGAAAACGAGTGATGAAAATTAATTTTATTGTTATTGTTCCCTTGGGCTCCTAGTGGAACATAGGGCTTCAACTACACGTCTCCACTTGTTTCTGTCTCCTGCTGTTCTTACCACCTGCATCCATCTAAGTCCATACTGTTTCAACTCCTCTTAACACGATCTCCTCCATGTCACCCTTGGACGTCCCGATTCCCTTTCGAGTTCCGATCGAGGGCCTGACGCGCGATGTCACCCAGCGGCCTCCTCAGCAAGTGTCCAATCCATCTTCACTTACTCCTGCATATTTGTTGGGCGATTGGTTCTTGTTTTGTTTGTTCCCATAGTTTCTTGTTGGTGATTCTTTCCAGGCATCTGATCTTGAGTATAGAACGAAGACAGCTGTTGATAAAGGTGTGCAACAGGCTGTTGGAAATATTCTTTGTGACCCGCCAAGTTTCTGATCCGTATAGAAGAACTGACTGACTTGACGTTTGTATTGAAAATCCGAATTTTGTTGTTGATGCAGGCTGAGTGACGAAGATTTTCAGATTGGTTTCAGGTTGATGAATGTGTTTCTCGCCTTCCCGATTCTCGATTTGACATCCTCGTCCGTTCCTCCTGTAGTTGAAACAATGCTGCCTAGATAAGTGAATGAAGTAACCTCTTTCAAATCCCTCCCGTTGGTGGTGAGTGGCGCTGGTAGCACAGTGGTTTGGACTGTGGCCGACCATGCACATGATCCGGAGTTCGATCTCCTGCCAACCTACACCCGATATCAGTGGTTGGCCTGCAAAGTGTGGCTACCGATTTCACATACTGAAAGTTCCATACTATAACCTCGCCTAGAGTACTAGCTCGCTAGTTTTCTAGCCGATCCTAAGTCCGGATGAATAGGGAGGGTTGGGGCATAGTGCTAGTAACTCCACTTCTAAAATATTACCAAATTGCTACCGAAACTTCAACGCATAAATATATTAAAAATACTAAAAATTACTGAAAATTACTCATAATCAATTTCACATTAGAAAGTTTGATTTTTGTATAGAACACAGTGATACAGTAATGAAATATAGATGATGTTTCGAGCTCGTTATCATTTCTCAGTTCACTCTCACGACTTCATAACTAACTTCATATATTTTCACTCTCTGTCTCTCCCTGTTATTTATTGCAAATGTCCGCATATCAGGAATGAGTGTTACATGATTTCAATGATCACAAATTCTTTGACTAACCTCTTTCTCCACCTAATTGTATTACTTTTTAATGATTTTACCCCCATCTAACTCTACTAGGTGATTAAATACGTGTGAACAGGTTGCAGTGGCAGCGTCAGTCTTTCTAGTTCTAATTAAATTTCAATGTTCTGTTAATCTAACCAACACTGACCTACTTGTTTGAACTATGTGATTGACCTTGCTGGCTTGTTATTTTTTACTGACTTTGGGTGAATAACTACCCAACTGAATTTCATCGAGAAATTTATGAATTGCACGAGCAAAGTGAAAGGAGTCGTTTGAATATAGAAAATTATGTAAATGATAGAGAATTCATATTGTCAATAGTACTACCGCATAAAGAAGGAATATCAGAAGCCCTACGTAGAATTCCTACAATACGGTGGTGATATCTGAACTCACTGAACAACTAACTAGTGAGACAAACTCTCCAGACGCAAGAATTCAACAGACTCAATTGGGAAAAATAATATAATTTATCAATCACCATGGAATAACTATTAGGTCGATTATGTAAGCCTGACTAGTAGGTCAGGATCATTTAGATTATTGGAAAATGGAAATACAGATAGACCTGGAAAGAATGACTTTGGCAGGTTAAATAATCTAGAAACGACCTCAGCCACTGCAATGTATTCATTTTCACATAATTACACAATACGGTGTTAAACAATAAAATTATTAGAACACTAGGCAGTTAGACGGACGAAGAGGTTCTTCGTGCCGAATCTTTACTGACTGAATAAACACTAAACATGTCCAGTCGAGATGACTCAATGCCTACATCGGATTCATGGAAAAGTGTAATTAGAAACAGTAGAGAGTAAGGTGAATAAAGTAAGTTATAGAGACATGTGAATACACTGTAATGATTGTGAGCACTAAATTGTTCTCGAAGCTGTTTCAATGTGTAATATATCAAATAAAGTTATCCAACGTGAAATTCTGTTCCACCACAATGCTTAGATTTCACACATTAGTTGTAAGCAACTTCTGTCAACTATTGTGTGTATTGTCACTTGGAGTGGTTTAATATATTACAAGTTACTAATTTGTTTATCTACACTACAATTGTAATCCAGTTGGTCGGTCACTATTCAGGGGATTCAGATTTATGCGGCTCCTCAAACTGATTGAAGTCAGATTCACTGTTGATGACCTCAAATGAAAGAAACTGTTACATAGGTGGCTTCAAAATACTCTAACTACTAATGAGTAATATATATGTCTTAAGAGAAAATTACCTGTGCATATCGTCTATTATAATAAAGTAGAATATCCTGGCGCTCGTAAACTGTTCTGCTAGTTAAAAGCTTTATCAGTTTCTCGGTATCTAAATCAGAGAAATAAAAAGTACTTATGAGTGAGAATTATATATATATAACAACTCATTGATAATTATAATCAGATTTTAATATTAAATTTATGAGATATATGATTTCATTTAAGTGAACTATGAACAAGTGAAAGTAAGCATTTCAATTACAGAATCTGTGAACGGATACTTCCACTGTCAGGTGTCTCACTTATAATGAACAAGTTATCCAATAATCTGTATGGCTTGCTGGTAACCATAGGAATGGTGAAAACTTTACTTTGTGCCTTAATCGCCTATAACGAAGACATGTATAACAGTTATTGTTATTATTTTTGTCAACTCATTTCATCACCATCATGAATCTGCCAATATCACATCAGTGAACAGTTTACACAGTCTAATTTACAAACGCCTATTTAGGTCAACACTACAACCATGAAACAAGATTCATACATTTATTCCCCTTGATGAATTTGAACAAGGCAGGAACAACAGTTTTAGCAGAATAAAGTGGTACCATCTTTTATTTCATTGCCTTCTCGTCAGCTGCTTACAGGCGAAAGACATTATTAAATATATATACAAAAACAATTTTAACATACTTGCACAGAGTTCATTTAAAACAAAAATCAATCGATCAATATATGCATACAATAATAATGTATAATTATGTAATATTAAACACTATTCTGAACAATAATAATTACACACAATGAAAGCATTTCAGCATTACGCATGCTGAAATGTTTTCACCTTTATAATCAAGCTGGAAGTAGGTTGGCTATTTCTCCACTGTGATTTGTTTGACATCTGAGACTACAGATCTTCCATACTTGTTAGTGAATATTGAGGGTAACCATTGCTTCTCAACATCTTCTCGAGAAACATAAATTCTTCCTCTAATTTCTCTGTAAAGCTTATTCTCCCAGTTCAGTAGTACAGTGTCTTGACTAGTGCTCATTTAAAGCTATTTGGACAAAAACTATTAAATTGTAGGTGTCGTCCATTCCATGTAGGATGTCGGTATATTGACCTTTGGAGACCACCATCTTCTAGGCGTTGCATGGCAATGTCAAGGAAATGGAACTTTCCATCACTTTCATGTTCCATAGTAAATTCAATATTGGTATGTGCGTCATTGAATAATCTGAGTAAATGGGAAGCATGACTCATTGTTGCCCACTACAAATATGACATATCGACAGTAAGAAGTTGTTTCGTCGATTGCATGCTTCAACTTTGTTCTTTCTTTTCTAAAAAAGTATCAAGAAGCTTATGTCTAAAAGGAACAACTGCTTTAAACAGTGCCATTTCCAGGCATCTCCTCGACACGGGTCATCAGGTGGACGTTGAAAAGTCGTTGAAAATTATCAATAGGCAAAAGAGTTCAATTCTCCTCAAGTTTGTTGAAGCCATTTCCATCAAACGCCGGAAACCTGATTTATGCGTTCAGAAAGAAGTGGTTATCCGTCTTTCTTTGCTCTGGTAACTGGATATTTTCATCTCTCTTTCATGTGAATGCGAAATGCTGAAAAGTTTCCATTGTGTGTGATCATTATTGTTCGGAATAGTGTTTAATATTACATAATTATACATTATTATTGTATGCATATATTGATCGATTGATTTTTGTTTTAAATGAACTCTGTGCAAGTATGTTAAAATTGTTTTTGTATATATATTTAATAATGTCTTTCGCCTGTAAGCAGCTGACGAGAAGGCAATGAAATAAAAGATGGTACCACTTTATTCCGCAAAAACTGTAGTTCCCGCTTTATTCAAAAACAAGATTCAGTAAACAGTTGTAAACTTTCCAGTGAGTCATTGGTTCCATTAGTATTTTTTTGTAGTTCTAGAATCATCTTCAAGCTGACGAATACTTTTTGTTGTTCACGTAACTGTTTCTTAGTGGGCTAGACGGCTAAAGTCAATAAGAAAGCAACAAATCTCATTTTCATTTATGTTTCTTCAAATATCCGAATAGGTTCAGTTGACGACTAAACAAGAGTGAGAAGATGCCACAAGCGGATTATCTTTGTGTAATTATATTATTATCGTTGTTTCCTTTAGTTCCTAAAGGAACATAGGGCTTCAGCCGCACATCTCCATTGCGTTCGGTTCTCCGCCAACGTTTTCACCTGACTCCGCGTCTGCCTACATGCCTTCATCTCCTCTTCACATGATCTCCTCCATGTCACCCTCTCACTGACGACCAACTCGCCACTTCGCGAAAGCGTTCCACCCTCGAGAGCCTATCGTGTGATGTCACTTGATGTTGACTTATGTAGGTAAAACGTTATTTATTTTTCCACTACAATGCCTATCAGAAAATATTATTATTTAGTGTTGGTTTGCAAGTTTTTGATTGACTACGGGTTTAATTTAGAAAGTGGCAGAAGTTGGGATTCATGGGCTTCCAGTGGCTGAATGGTCAACAAAGTCGCCTTGTAACCGAGTGGTTCAATATTAGAACCTCAATGGGTGGGTGCTGTGAAGAGTCCCGAACTAGGAAGAAACAGTTGTGTAGTACTCCCAGGTCTCCCAATGGTTCTCCAACTGACATTAACTCGTGATCATACTTGCAAAAACTTAGTGTCAGGACAAAATTAACGATTAAGACAAGAAGACGCGAATCATCTTAAATGATTTTTGTGATTGTGTGCAGCAGTAAGAAAATAAAGAATGACACAATAGCAACCCATTTGAGCAAATTTGGGATTTCACACAACTTTTAGTTGAGATTTTTGCATTCACTTTTACTTCTGCGTGCACTTTAGTCTTTTCCCTACAGTCGACAACTTTATTTTGCTACTATATAGTCGGATGCAAGTTAGCCTGTATTATGTCTTCATTCTATTTCAGTTTCCTTACGTCATCTGATGTAATAAAATTCAAACAGTACTAATTTTACAGTCAGAAAACCGTTGAGTGACATCACACACGAAGCATGACTACGAGTGGAACCCGACTGGAAAACAACAAGTTGGGCTCTAGCCCGACTATGACATGCAGTAGATTGAGTTAAGAGAAAAATGAAAGCTTATAAACAATCATAAAGCCGGTTACAAAGGACTTCAGAGAATAGAATGAAGTAGAGATGTTCTGTTGAAGCCGTGCGTTCCAATAGCCAACCAAGAGAATAATGTCATAACTGTAATTGTCAACAATCAAAACTGGATAAGTACCCTGCTGACGTAACATCCAACTGCATTTATAAATTTACGTGCACCTGCGGCAGCAAGTACATTGGAAGGACAGAAGGAAGGGCTTATATCCGGTTTTCAGAGCATATTCCGAGAAACTTATGCTTAAAAGGAAGCAGATATTTACAAAGTGCAATTACCAGACACCTTATGAATACGGGTCATTTTGTCGAGATTTCAAAATTTCCTTCAAAATATTAAGCATACAAAAGACAGCGAATCTACTACGATTTGCTGAAGCAATTGCAATAAAACATCTCAGACCAAACTTATGCACACAGAAAGAGAGTGTAGTCAATCTCTCACTCCCTTGATAACCATATCACTTTCATTGCACTGATTAGTCATACACACTAGTGAGCTCAGTTCAGTAAGCAAGTTTTAAAATTGATGAACTTTAACCTTCTTGAGTTGCCATGTTGACCTACAAGCTACCACTGTTCATTAGATTTTTCTGTTTTCTCCCTTCTCTAACCCCCATTCCTTTTTGTTTTTTTCATAGTTTGATAGTATATAAATTGATGGTAACTTGAACCATAAATTGTAATGCTTATATTCCAGATATGTTCATCTTATAATGCCTTCTCTATTACCGTTCAAACATTGAAGTATGAAATCTTATTATTTCTAACCATTGTAATTTCAGGTAGTTTGCAGCTGACGAGAACCTGTGAAATCGAATGATATCATTTTAAACTGCAAATCCGGTCTTTCTTTCTCTATCGACAAAAAAACATTTAATAGTGCACACATTTTGTTGAAAATATGTTAGCTTTACTAGGTAGGAATTTTCTTCTATATTAATAGTATAGATCTTGTTCATGCACTCTGCGAAAGAATACCCATCAAACATTTATGTTCCCTTTACTTCAAATCTCTAGAATATCTAAATATCGATATTATTTAAAAAAACGCTAATATTGTTATTAACTACTAATTTAAAATATTCTGTGTATACAAACATATATATAATTGTAGAGCCTGGAAGAGGAATTTATCGAAAAGAATATTCTTTGCTCGATTATTTTGTTTTTATAGATGTCTGAATGAACATTTTTGCAATATTAAATTGTTTGACTCAGCCTTTAGTTCTGACTGCATAACTGACGACTGTATTTTGAAGTAAACCTTTTTATAGTGAGTTATTTTTCATGCCCCTCATTCTCTTCATTATTTTTCAAATTCTACTCTAGTGGATAATGCGACAAACAGCGGCCAATGAGGAAACAGGCATAAAATGGACTCACACAAAAAAAACTTGGAGGATCTGGACTTCGCCGATGATATATGTCTGATTTCCCACAAACTGGAAGATATGCAAGTGAAAAGCAACAAGTTGGCAGAAGAAGCATCAAAGATAGAACATAGAGAAAACAGAGGTAATGAAGATTCTTGGACAAGAACAACAACAACAGACAACAACCAGCATAAATGGGAGGAACCTGAAAGAAACAACCTCTTCTACCTACCTGGGAAGCATCGTTTCAACTACTGGCGAGGATATCAAAGCAAGAATCGGAAAAGCAAGACAAGCTTTCACTACTCTCAAGTCTGTGTGGAGGTCAACAACACTCAGCATCAAAAATAAGATCCGAATTTGCAACTACAATGTGGAGTGAGTGCTACTATACAGATCAGAGACTTGGCGTGTCATAAAGAGCATCTCAAACAAACCACAGAACTTCATTAACAGTTGTCTTCGCTCAATACTCAAGAGCAGATGGCCGGCTAGAAAAGATCAGCAACAGGGATCTTTGGGAGCAAACCAACCAGGAACCGATTGTGAAACAAATAGGCAGGAAGAAATGGAGATGGATTGGCCACACTCTGAGGAAACCAGCAAGTGACATCACTAGACAAGCAATTGCTCTAGTGGAACCCGAAAGGGAAGTGGCGAGTTGGTCGTCAGTACAAGGGTGACATGGAGGAGGTCATGTGAAGAGGAGATGAAAACGTGTGGGCAGACTTGGAGGAAAGTGAAGACTCTAGCACAGAACCGAATGCAATGGAGACGCACGGCTGAAGCCCTATGTTCCTCTAGGAATTAAAGGAAA